AAAAAGGACAATTCTGGAGGAAGTGCTGAGGATCACAGGGTTAACGTGGATATTAAGTGAAGTTGTGGATAAAGTGTTGACCTGAGGCCGTAGAGAACCGTTCCATCCGGGTGGAGTCGAATCATCCGGTTCTTCACGGTAACACCGTGAACAAAGGATTTCTTGTCGTTGAGGAAGTAGGTGTCTGGTACCCAGAGCTGATCTGCTACTCTGTTGTCCAGAGTCAAGTTGAGAGGGATCCCTGCGTAGGCCAGTCTCTTATCTCTCCAATACTGCTGGAAATACATGGTCAGAGTGTAGTCCTGTGGAAAGTAAAGGAGCAGTTATGGAATATACTGTAAATCCTGTTTCAGATTATGAACATTTCTGATGAAAAGGGGCTGGTAGTATCTAAGAGAAAACATCCAAGAAAAGTTGGAGTTCAGTTTCAAAATCTGCATCTGAATGGATTTTCTCTTTAAAAAACTGTCTTTTGCATAAAAATGCAGATTTAGGTGACCAAACATGACAAGAAATCCTCCATAAACCAGTCAAATTATCCCACAAACATCAGATCTCCATCTCAGCTGGCCCAGCATCGATGACATCAGAACTAATCACTTATTTTCAGATGGATAGATACAAATGTTATTACTTATTGCTAACCGTACCTGTTGTAGCATTAATGATTTATTGAGCTTTCATTTGCAGCAACCCCAACAAGCTGATCCATCAAACACAAAAGCTTTCCCAGCCCTTTAATGGCTCTCTTTACAAGCTTTCCTGGTTTTGTTCTGCTGACTAATGTTCTCCTAAATAAATAAGCAGGTCTCGGGGCATAAATAAAAGCATGGCAATGCTGAAAATGCCTATGCACTGATGGGATTATATGTCTATTAGAAAGAGTGTGAAAAATGATTAGATCTGAAAACTTTCATTGAACTTATTATTGATTTGAGTTGGTCTTTGTGGTTTCAAATGAAGAATTGACATGCAGGTGAGTTAAAAGACTCAGGACAACAATTTATTTCAGAAAAGAAATGGAAAATAAGATATATGAATGCCCCAGCAAGCAATGGGTGAGGGGACCAGTCTTTTAGGTTATGTCCAGAACATGGTCACCATCTCAAAAGTCGCCATATTGGAAAAAAGTTAAAATTTTGTCAATGGGAAGGGGGTCATGTAGCACATCAAACAAGACCAGAATGGTCTAAAAAATCGATAGCCTCCATCAGATTTGCAATAACTCTTGTAGCTTAAAAGGTTATCAACATTAAAAGTTACAATGACTGAGAATATTGCCTATGATGCATAGCTGCTGGACGTTTTCAGTGTGTCGAAGTTCCCAGATGTTCCAACTTTCTCTGTTGATAACGTTTGAAAAACGAGATATTGCAAATCTGATTGTGGCAATTAATTTCTGAGACAATTCTTGCTTTCTTTGATATGTTACATGACCACCTTCCCATTGGAAAAATTTGAAATCGATCCAATATGGCGACTTTCAACATGGCAGTCATGTTCTGGATCTAATCTAAAGATAGAAATCCTGAATACCGTTGCTGAAATATCAGATATGCAGAGTACACAGAAACTGCATGAGGTCTGACAGACAACCCGTGTGCTGGTTTTGCTCTAAGTGTATATTGTGTGATTTTCTATGGTAAGAGTCATCTCCAGCTCTTACGCAACAGATCACATAAAACCTTTGCTTAAAGTGTATCTTACCCCCCCACCCCCCCACCCCCGTGAAAAGATAACTCCACCCCAAGGCGAAATTCGAAAAATGCATCAAAGTGGGTAGGGGAGGGGGTGTGGGTAGGGAAGGGGGGGTTAAAGAGCGGAGGTGTGGCCAGGACGAGAGAGCTGTCTGCCTCACACCACACCAGCCTCGGACAGAGGAGTGGAGCGCTCCGCTACAGCCTGACATAAAAAAATAAAAGCATACAGCTGCAGCTGCTCACAAGATCACTAGTTTAAATCAGGAATAAAAGTGTTGGGTCTTRTTTGACTGAAGTTAGGTCCGGTTTGGGCTGCAGCTGCCCCGCTGCCTTTCTGCCTTTTTTTCCCCTTCTCCCCTCTTGCTGTGCAGGAAGTACTGCTGGTGTGTGTGTGTGTGTGTGGAGAGAGAGAAAGAGAGGGAGAGACACAGAGAGCAGCGCAGCAGTCAGCTCTCCCCACCCGAGGCTGAAGGTCAACAGACGATCATGCTAAKCTTGCTAACTGTTCCACCCTCTGACTGCTGCAGGGGCGTGTCTTAGAGAGAGGCTTTTATACCAGAACACAGCCGCTGTGACGAAACCGTGGAGAAGACACGTCACAGCGGAGAGCTGTTACCAATATGCAAATTAGTCTGCAGTACCACTGCTCTGCCCATATGAGCAGCAAAAAGACTTTTTGGACCAAATGTTACAGATTTGAACAAATATGTACAAAAACATCAAAATTAGCACAGAAACTGTACTATATAACATTTTAAACACATTCTAGACAGTTTATCAGCTAAAAAAAGTTAATTTGGGGGTAAGTTACTCTTTAAATCTTTAGCAGGCAGCACGGTGGGCAGTTAGAGCTGCAGGATGTATCATTAGAGCAGTTTCAACCCAATAGTCACACTGCAGGTCCTGCGATGTAGGAGGCAAGCAAATTAAATCAACGCCCTATCTGTGGATAAACCAGTGGTTCCCAACCTATTTTCCTCAAAGCCCCCCCCCCCCTTCTTACAAGAATAAAAATATGTCTTGTAAATGCCCCAATCAGAATATTCTGATCTGCTTCTGCTTGAGCCAGATGAATATGTAATCTGAATGAGAGGGGTGATTTATGCTGATTGATCATTTGAACGATGTTCATGTAAACACTTATTATGATCATGTTATTCTGTTTGTGGAAAACTGACTTTCATCCTCTGGTCTTTGGGGACAGAGGGGCAGCAGCTATACTTGCTGGCAACAGAGAACTGTAAAGGATTTTTATTTCCAGTAAAGGAGGAAGACAAACTGAAAATGTTGCTTCACCTGTAGTTCAATCAGGGAGAGCAGTAAAGTTTCTACTGTTATTAAAACCTGGCACTAAGAAGACACATCTGAATGTTTATGTTTACGAGGGAAGCAGAATGTCTTCTGTGGTGTCTTTAGGGAATGTTTACAACTCTTTGCATGTCAGTACTATTCTGGTGCATGTAAAACACTTGTCATGATCAAATTAATAAATTTTATGTCTATACAAATAATAATATTGAATTAGAATACATTTCTATCCAATCAAATAATTTAGTTCATACAAACACAGCTAATGATGGCAACCATTTGTTTGTGGATTCTCAAGCTGGAGGAAAAGATGTAAAGCATGGTTAGCATGAATGCTAATATTAAAGCATGATTAAAGAAGAAACTAAGAGACACAGAGGCAACATGTTAGGTGGTAAAACACAGTTCACATTTGAATATGATAGAYGAAAACATGAACTCAGGTTCCAGCACAATGAAAGATAACATGACTAACTCTCAAATACAAACTAAAACAAACTTGTAACGCACAAATATGAGGTACGATCAGTGCAGGTTCATCATCAACAAGATGGCTACAGAACTCCTCAGTTGAAAATGCCTATATTTTTTCATATTGCAATACTAGGGGTGCAACGATGCAGAAATTCATGATTCAGTTCGATACTTCAGTGTCATGGCTCGATATTTTTTCACTACAAAAAAGAAATTCTCATGCCCTTCTTAACTTGTAATTTATTGAAATCAATGAGGAACATTTATTTAACATTAATAGTACAGTTTTTAAATTAAATGCTGCTGAAACAGCAAGTTTCTCAGTGGATCTGTGCTCGACAATGCAGCCTAGGTGGAGTAGTCGAACACAGATGTGCTGAGCCTTCAACACAGATCATCTTCAGAAGACAAGCTGATACAATCAGTGTTAAAAAATTGTATTGTTCAATACATAGTGTGTGTTGAACCTAAATCACTGTATTGTTGCACCCCTATGCAATACATGTCACAGGATAAGAAAAAAATCCCAATGTCAGTCTTTTCCAATATCATGCAGCCCTATGAGCAACATGCACTCCTTTCATGGAATTCTTCTTATCTTATCTTATAATTTAAGATGTGTATTCTTGTTGACTTCATCTAGGATTTGTTGTGATGATAGATAAGAATAATTTACGACACTTATGTCACCATCAGCTTMCATCTTTTAAAGATAATTGCAAAAGAAAATATTTTTTATTTAGATTAAATCTAATTTATGTCCCTACTTGAACAGTGGAAATGGTGTGTGGGTTGGTGAATCAGTTTTGCTCAAAAGCCTCTTTAGAAACTCCAGCAATGTGAGCTTTCAACCGACACACTGCTTCCACGTCTGGACTGCTGCTATTTTAGACTGTTTGAGATCCTCAGATTCCACTTCAGCAGTTCTCCTCAAATGCCTTCAACTCTCCTTTAGCTGCCGAGAAACAAAGCTGCACAACATAACTCAGCAGTAAACCGGAGTGCAGAACGCCCTCGTGATTCCCAGAGGGATTTTTCCCCGGGCCTTATTGAATCACTGCTGAGGCTTTGCAGTTTGTTTAAATGTGTGGCCAGCACTGAGGTGAGACACTAACAGGTGATGAGCTTTTGTCCAGAGTTAATGTCGAGGTAAGGTTTCTTACAACTCTCTCATTCCTACAGCCACCATTATGACGAAAAAAACTAAAAATAATGCTGCTTGTTTCGRCAGCCTCACTGTCGCTGATGCTCCATTACTCATGTCTGAAAAACTCCCAGGAGGAACAAACATCACGAGCGGAAGATACCGCCTCATTTCAGAACGTTCCACTCCGATATCCGCAGCCATTTTCATCTAATTATTCCCATTTGTCAGATGAGTGTTTGAGCCARAGAAATCCTCAGACAGAGAAACATCTTAGTGAGCAGAATATTAGATCTGAACTTTCAGAATCTGGTCCTAATGCCAGAGTCATAATTTACTCTCTAAATGGGCTCCAAYAAAACATTTGACTGTGCTGGCTGAAAATGGCTGAAATCAATAGAGTGAAATGGCAAACACCTAATCTGATTTCTATGGAAAATAATGAAATGCATCAGTTACTGATGAGTCACAAGATTTTCAAGAAATACTGTTTCCCTCAGAAGGTTGTAGAATTGTTATTAAAAGATAAAGGCTCTTGTTTTCAGCAGAATTGAAAGAACCAAAGCAGCAACACAGAGTTTTAAAATTCAGTACTTAAAATTCTTTAGAGCTCATGAAGTAGGACTCTGTGCATTACTCGGTTATTTGCACRGAATTCTGGGATTTGCTGCAGCAC